ACTGAAAATGTATCAGGTCAACTACAGAATAAGATATAAAATGAATTTTGTCTCTTTAAGATGTGCGGATTTGTTTACCAAATTTACAAAACTTTGGTTAGAGATTACTAAAAATGGCCTTTTTATCATTAATCACATCTCAAGGTTAAAAGTTCAAAGAAGTGTGCACTGGTTAAAACATTTCTCGACAGTACAATAAGTAAAGTAAAACAATATTCATGGCTATTGCTGCTGGCTGGTGTTCCTGGCACTTCTTCTGCACTGCAGGTGAAAACGTCTTGTACTCTTCGTTTCAAACCCACATAAAATTCACAGCTTTAAGCCTGAAAGATCTTTATTGTAACCTATTACAAAACGTCTTGTGACCTATACTTGGCAAGCTTGTAATTAAAGCATCATATATGGCTTGCAGTGAAATAGAATCTGTATCTGTGGACAGTTATCTTTATACAAACCAACCTAGCTATACCAACTTTGAAAACTTAAATAGCTTATGCATTTTATGAATTGTGCTACTTTACATCATGGTGATTTTCTTAAAATTGCTCATATTTAATGTAGTTTTGATTCCATACTTCCATACAGGCATAGGCAGAATTTTTTGTAATGGTTTTAGAACAGCATTATAATTTTAAAAGAAAGATGGTTTAGACTGGGAATTTTGAATATTTTTCATTAAGAGTTAGAATCCATTTTTTGATTTCCAATATGTATAGGAAATAATTTTTAGAAAGGCAAAACACAAATTTAAGTGGGCACTGTGTGCCATTTTTATGTCTTTTTTGCACATAGTTTGAAAGCTGGCAAAAGGCTCAAATGTTTTTTAGAGTGTTCATCTACAATGTAGGTGAGGTATGTTATTTGATAGTTATTTACAGGAATTATTATTTTTTGCTTATGTAATACCAATGTGGCTTTGTTGCAGCTTTACTCAAATAAAATACTTCCAACCCAAAGCTTTATTTTTCGCCTTTTTATTTGTTGGAAATTTGTTTGCTTTGACTACAAAACAGAATGACTCAATTTTGCCATAAATACTGGACCTAGACATGGCAAACTCAAAACATTGTATGTCAAATTAAGGTTTGTAATTAAAATCTGTACAGTATAAGCCACTCAGTTTTTTAAAATAAAACTGTTAAAAAACAAAACACAAGACTTTATATGGTGCATTAAACAGCATACAGAATTAAGCTGAATCTGCGTTTTTGTCACGTTTACCTCTTAAAGAACCCAAAGAACTCAGAAAAGCAACTGTACAGTTACATTCTCACACAAGATATCCCTTGTGTGTCTCCTCTTGAGCCCACTTGCTTTGGAAGAGGCACAATCTTTTTTTAAACTCCCCAGCGAAACAAGAGTCCTGCGAGGTCACGGTGAGAGAGAATGAAATATCCTCTAGTGCCTAAGAGTCTTTCTCACTGAAGGATACCCCCTGGGCAGCTCATCGGATTCTCTTCTGCTGCCGAGCTCTGTAGATGTCATGTACAGGAGGTGCAATGGCCCCTTTTTCCTCCTCATCATCGGAGTCGGCGTTTGGCCTCTTCAGCGCTTTGTTGATCACTGCGTTGTTCTCCACTGGCCCGTTCCCTTCACTCGCTAACTCAGGCTGCCTGCCGGTGATGAGTTCCACAGCAGCATCAACAGCTTTTTGAGAACAACAAAAAAGTTAGTCATACCTATAAACAACCCAGTCATTTTAAGAACAGTCTCTCTAGGAAAAAAAAAACTTACTATGCCACATGCAGGCATAATCCCCCTTTTTACAAGATGCTTGATATCTGTTGGTCAGCCCAGAAGTATGGGCCTTAACTAACACACCTTTACCTTCATGAATGAGTCAGCAAAGCAAACACCACAGTGCAGCACTGAACTTACTTTCTGGAAGTTTACATCTTCTGAAGGCCTCCATTAAATCATCCACTTGGACGAATGGACCCTAAACGTAAAACAGACAGCAACAACTAATCAAACGCCTGCCGAAACCTACGGTTCCTAGAACCTTCACACTTCAAGCAAAGGAAGGGTTTTATACTACTGTCCAAGAACAAAGCACTTGCCCATGTGCAAACAACATCCATCTTTTCCCCCCTCCCCCCTGGACTTCGTTCGTCTAGCTTCTCTTCAATAGCAATGACAGTGTTGTCTGCCCCTGGAAGAAGAGCTGTGTGTGCTGGGAGCGTCAGTGCTTGTGCAGGGTCTGGCAGTGCTACTGACCGTGAAGCAGGTGGGAGGTGGCAGCAGTTTCATGAGAATCACCGCAGCGGGGGGTACTGGGAAGACTCCACCTGGCACAGGGTGTAGCCCTGGGGCTGGAGGTGAAAGGTGTTCACAGGTGAGATGGCTTTTAATAGTCACTTTGTTCAGGAAGTGCCTTTCTTTTAGAGAAGTTAAATGAAACACAATTTGTAAAATACGGTATAAAGGCTTCAGTCATCTGGAACTAAGTCACAGGACATCAAAATGAGGGATATATATAAGGCTACACAACATAATGAAAACAAGAAGTATAGTGTTAGAAATTGAGTACAATACAACAAATAAACAGCAAGTAAATCAGCTGTAATCCCTGCTGAGGAATTCACATGACATGAACATGAACATTCTAGATATCATGCAGAGTGCCGATGACAAAATGTTTAAAACATCCTAAAGTTTTCTAATGAAAATACTTAAAGTTTAATTCCCATTATTTCTCAATTAATAATGTTTTACTCTCTGAATTCTTGAAACAGATCTTTGAAAACAGTAACGAGACACAAGAGAGGCTATAAATTGTAAAGAGGAAATAGGTAAAAAAAAATTGGCTTGGATACCACTTAGCAAAGGTTTTCTATTTTGGAATTATTTCTGTAATTAATTTAATACTTAGGTTAAAGAATCGGTTTATGTTCCCATTGTATACTGCAAGAACAGTATTGTGGACAATAATGTCAGTCTTCCCAAAACTGGTGTAGCAGCTGACTCCCAGTGGATCTTGAACATCACTGCCATGATGCAGTTTGGCGGAAGGGGCTCTGGACTCCCAGCCAATGGCTTGTGGGTTCACACCCCAGAAGGTGCTGTACCCTTGAGTACAGCTCATCACACGCACTGCTGCCGTGACTTCCCTGCTGAGCAGACGGACACTCTCCAGGCGGATCCCACACTCTGCAATTTCTTCTCATTTTAAAATCAAAAATCCAAAGGAAACGCAAAGGGAAGTGTAACCCCCAACTCACGGGCTAGGTGCCGGGGCTGAAACGGGATCATCTGGTTCGTGTCTGGTTTTGGATACTCGGGCTTGCGGTCTGCTTCATCTTTCAGCACAGGCACAATGGAAGGAGCCACTACAGCCTCAGGAATCAGAGATGCGAATTTGGCACGGGAGACATCCTGCAATACACATGTCAGTTATTGTTCTTCTCCCTCAAAGAATGAAAAAAGTTTTATTGATTCACAAACAGCAAGCGAATCCTTTTCCCCCCTGTTTCCAGTGATCACACTGGCACAGCACTAATCATCATCATACTTGGTGAGATTTAGTCTGTCAAGTGTCAGTGTCGCTGGGAATGTGAAAACTCATAACTACAAAGCTACATAACTGTTCTATTGCCAAGAGTAGGTCAGATGTTATAAAAATGACAATGTAGTCTAAGATCCATGCTAATAAGCAACATTTCAATTTGAGACGTAAAGACATAGACAGCGTGGTGGAGCAGTGGTTGACACTGCTGCCTCGCAGTAGTGGGGCCCTGGGTTAAATTTCAGACTTGGGGTGCTATCTGTGTGGAGTTTGTATGTTTTCCCTATGTTTGCATGGGTTTCCTTCCACAGTTAGTTATGTTAATTGACTTCTGGGAAAACTGGTCCTTGTGTGAGTGAGTGTGTCTGTCCTGTGATAAACTGGTGTCCCATCCAGGGTTTACCCAGCCTTGCGGCCATTGCTTGCTAGAAAGTCTCTGGCTTCCCCACAACCCTGAACTGGAATTGGCATTTAGAAAATGGATGGATGTAGAAACATGTCATACTGAAGCACATGTTTCTACTTCATTCAGTCTAGGCTGACAACACAGTACAAACCTTATATCCCAGAGCCTTCAGTTCACTGGCAGAGCAGGGGTACAGGTCCATGAACTTGTATCTGTCCACTAGCAGGGCTGTCTCTTTCCCTTCATACTCCTCCTTGAAAGCTGTAAACCTTCTTCGCTCCACCTTCAGGATACTGGCCAAGTCTCCAATATTGCTCTCAAAAGCTAGAAATCGAGCCCAGATTTCTCTGAAAAACACACAGATAAATCCAGCTGAGGAACTGCATTTTCTCAAAGAAAAAAATAAACTAAATAGTAAACACTACATTCACTTACCCTGATTTCTCAGGTGACAGATTTCCTGATGTTAAAACACGTTCAAACAAAACTCTGGTATTGTTATCCTCTGCAAAAAAATGATGAAAGAAATGAGAAACTGATTTCTCATTCATTATTGTATATGTTCATAGTGAGATATAACATTAAAGAACTCTCAGTTCAATACTTTGGGTTTCCTATTGGGCGACAGACACTGCTACACCCTCTATTTACTGTCACAATATCTGAACACCCCCCCATACACTTAACACCTGTTTTTATTAGCAGCATCATCATCATTATCATCACCACCGCTAAACTGACTCAAATTCTGCTCTTCTGGCAATACTGCTATAAATTCCACTAAAGCTAACAATCCCAAAATTAAATGTAACTTTGTTCAGTATTATTTTTAATGTCCAGAACGTGATACTTTCGCAATGCATGTTAAAAAAACATAGACCTTAAAATAAACGTTGCTCTGTTCTTCAGCAGTTTTGTACCTACCATTGAGATGAGACAGGTAATCAATATATGCCAATATATATTCAGGTATGTCTCCGTATTTCTTCAAACCCAGCTCGAAAATTTTAAAGGCCACTGATTTGTCCTGTGTGAAAAGACATTTTTAGAAATAAGCATGGGCTTACACTAAACTTTGCACTTAATATCATTGCTCTTCATGAGAAGTATATAACAGTGGGCCCTGGGGCGGTCTTTAAGAGAACCGGAGATCTATGTGGAAAGTCTGGGAGCACCACTGACCTTACTGCAGTAGTACTCCATGAGTGCAGCAGACACATAGACATGATGCCGAGTCCTAATGTCCTCTCGGGCTTTCTTGAAGATCATTCTGCCTGATTTGATACCTTCAGCCCTCCTTGCAAACTTCATATACTGAATGTAAACCTGCAACAGCAGATAAAAGGGCAAATTAACAGCCACTGGCGAAAGCTATTCAATATATTGCAAGACACAACATAACTTATTTGGCTATTTGCCTGACCAAACTGCGCACATCTAACCTCCTCACTCTACACTGGAGTTTTTTGAAGCTACACCATTGAAAAAACGCATACTGTAGGTTAATTACCCATTTGATTTTTTGAAATTCAGAAACAAATTAAAATGAAAACGCTAACGAACCACACCTTTAATAGAAAATGGAGAACAGCAATGATGACTGCTGTCTCCAGTTTTTTAAAAATATATTTCTTCTGGTTGTTATAAATTATTATAAATTTCAATCCATAAAGGATATGAAATACATTGCAAACATGAAAGAGTTCAGAAATATGTTGTTTCTGTTATGGGGTTTTTATCCCATTGAAAAGATGAGGTGCCGCTACTAAAACTCACCAATGTTGGATCAATATCTTCTATTGCCAAGAGGCGGTTATATATGCTGTGCACCTTTTCATATTTCATTCGACTCTGGAAAATACACAGGGAAAGCACGTCGATTTCTGTAGTTAGAACTTTTGTAACTGAAAACCCCATTCTTCCTCTTAAATGTAGATTAATAAACTCACCTCCTCATAATCTGCAAAGGAAAAATATAGCAGCATGTTTTTCTTCAACAGTGACCCAATGGCTCTCTCGTAAATATTAGCAGCTTCGTCGCTGAACAGCTTTGCGTTGTTCATGTCCTGCAGGAGAGTTGACAAAAAGATTAAATTCCTTTATTTGACTAAGAATATCACTGTCTTAGATTTTCTGATATCTTACTTGTGAACATTTTTAACCCATGAAGCTTGTGACAAATCTATATATTGCAGCTGAATGTGAAGAACTTCCTCCCCAAATGCTTTTAAGAAAAAGAGTAGCTTTAATTCTTAAAGAACTTGTGAAAATCCCCTGCTGACTCTTATGCTGTAAAGATTTTGTGTTGGAGATAATTGTTTATTTTTAATATTCTATTTCCTTTGTCCCAGGGTTGACACAAGCTGTTTTTGTCCAAGTATGTGTATTTTACAATTGCTTCCTTGTGTAGTGGGTACTCCCGGGATGCATCTGTAGGTGCAGAATGTTGCAAAGGAAAAGGAAGCTCATACCCCCTTTTCTGCGAGCAGCTTGCTGGATTGCTCTAGGTACTGAGCAGCTTCATACCAAATATCAGGGTGATGCCCCAGCACCAGCAGACACTGCTCATAGGCAAACATGACTGCAAGAGAAGAAAATTTGATTTTCAAACAAAGTTCCATTAATTTACAAAAGAGCACAGCCCTTTGAACACACTGTAGACATATCCATACAGCCTCTTGTTTCTTTGGAAAGGATGTTCCTGTTCCTGTGATTTTCATATTAATCATTGTCATCACATTGTACATTATTATAATGCAAAGATTAAAATCTTAAAGCTGATCCAGTGGGGGGGGGGGGGTAATTATTTTGCTTGGTTAAATATTATTCATGAGGTTGTCAGTGCTTTAGAAAAGATGGACAGTCCAGAGTCTCAGTGCATCACACAGACACAGCCAGCGCAGGACTCTGAATGCAGCGAGAGCGAAGGTGTTAAGTTTATGGAAGCCACCTCTCTTGGTGATGAGAGTTTGGTCCTCGGTCCGCAGGGGGTTGCTCTTCTCCCACTGGATGTACTTCTTCCACATCTCCACCTGCTGGGCCTCTTGAGGGGAGTTCTGAGGCGGGACCGACGGCGCGTTTCGGTCCAGACCCTTCATGACCGTCTCGTACTCCTGTGGAAGAGAACCGGAGCCTTACCAGCCCTGTTTTCACCACGTGACGTTCATGGCCACTGAGGAGGAGTTACAACACCAACACACCTCACATCGTCCAGACAGAGAGGAGTACTCATTATGTTTGTGTACTGACTCTACTTACTAAACGAATATAGAGTGAATGTTTTCCTTGACAAAGAATCTTGTCATATGCCAAATAGCTGTTTTGGCACACAATCCTAACCAGACAGATTTTCTGTTCCACACAGCAAAACAATGAACAAAGAGTTTATTTTCAAATAAAAAAAACATCTTTAAAGCTTTGAGTTCTTGTAATATATCTATTTTCCAATTATAGAAAACTTTCTAAAATTGGTAGAAAGTGGACACAAGTGGATTTCCTTAGGAACACTCAACATTAAAATTTTAAAATGAATTTTAGACATTAGATTCAATCACATTCACTTTTACCTACATAGAACGTGTCACAAGACAGCACAGTGGCACAGTGGTTGGCATTCCTGCCTCACAGCCGAATGTTCTCATTGTGTTTGTGTGGATTTCCCCCAGCAGTCCAATCCATAGTGGAATTTTACTGGCTTCTGGGAAAACTGGCCCTGGTGTGAGTGTGTGCATGCCTGTGTGTCTGTCCTGTCCAGAGTGTATCCTGCCTTGCACCCGTGGCTTGCTGGGATAGGCTCCGGCTCCCCAAGACTCCGAACTGGAAGAAGGGGTTAGATTATGGATGGATGGAATATGTCACAAAGATGTAAGAAAACTCACCTTTGCTACTCTTCTGGCATTCATATAGTCTCTGCTGCGGTCCTCAATCATTTTTTTAGCTAAATGTACATTGATGCCCTGTGAAAAACAAAAAAAACAAACATAAATCAATATATGTTTCATACATTTAAAGCTGTGAAAAAACAAAGTCCTTGGCATGACGCAAAAAATAACTAGGAAAAGGTTAGCTAATTCATGAGGCCTTATCCATTACAAAAATCAATTTTAAAATCAACAAGATCCTGGATTGTTATTCTTTACCTGGTGAAAATTTCATACATTCCAGAGTATGCATGATCAAAGAGTTCTCACTTCTCACCTCTTCATACTTGTTATAATCTCTCCACAACTGTTCAATGTTGATCATGGGATTGACACAACCCCTCTGGTAGACGCGACGGACAGCTGTTATTCTCTGGTTCTCTGCATAGGACCCCACAGCTTCACTGGACAAAAATGGGAGGAATTGTACATCTTAAATGAGGCTTTACGATACAGAAAAATGCTAAGAAAATAAAACTTAAGTGGATACTTACACTCCTTTTAGAAAATTGATGTAATCCACCCAGATCTGAAAAATTGAGACATTATAGTTTTTGAGTTAGAGCTTAATATACAAAGAGTGCGGCCCTAAAATGATCCGATTCGGTTATGTACCTGATAGGACATAATCTCCATTCCAATCTTATCCAAAGCAAAGTCGTAAGCCTGTGCCATTTTCTCCCTGGAATAAAAATGAACTATTCAGCACGATGCACCACCATTTGTAACTCAGCCGTGTTTGTTTGCCATGTCTCATTCATTATGTAGATTTATATAAATCTTTCTTTTCAAGAAAAGTATTTTTCTCTAAATATATATTGAAACAAATACGTCAATTTCCATTAAAATGGTCAGTATTTTTAAAAATTAATGTTGGCGAGGGAATAGTACATTTAGAATATTCACAAATACAATTTTCTATAGCTGCCAAGAATTTTTAATTGATCAATTCATCAAAAATGTTAAGGCAACTCAGTCCCTACAGGGAGAAAGCAGTCTTACTTGTAACTTGGCAGTTTGCCTTTGGTTTCCCGCACATAGGAAAGGTAACACTTCCACAGGTCGATGTGCAACACTTTCATGAGACATCTCTGAAACAGCTATTGAAAAGAAATAAAAAACAAAGACACTTATGACTGACTAAATGGTGAATTGATTTTTGCACCAGTTCTTGCTCTCCATGACTAATCAGAATATGAAAGTGGTTAAAGTCAACCAACAGTGTGGTTTTGCATTGTTTAAAGCCAACAATCCCCAGGAGAGAATTCAGTGAACAGCGGAAGAAGTCAGGTGTTCAATGCATCCAAACCAGACACTTAATGAAACTCCTCACAGGCACAAGCCATAAAAAAAGCTAACGCAGACTTAAGGCAAACACTCTTAAGGGCAAGTCCTGACTTCCCAGAGATGAGCAGCAGTAATCTGGAAGAGTGCCACTGAAGCATCTCACTGACTCCCTACAGAGTCACCCTTCAGGGTTGACAGGAATGAACAGGTAAGCCTAAATTCTATCAGTCCACAAGGACCTTGACAGCATTTAAAATTCATTTTAAAATGTACTGATTTGTGCAGGAAAGTACAATCTGCAATGAAGCCAAGAGTTTTGCTGAAGCCTATGCTCAAGATGCTTACGTGAGCACTTCAACTTGCACTGTGTTTTGGTAAGGCAGAACTAAGCATTTTTACCCGGCCCTGTACTCTTCGCCTGTTTTACTCTACAAATGAAAATAAGAATACATTTTTTTAAAATAAGTATCTTTTTAGAAGCTCTAAAATGACTATTTTGTTTTATTTGTACCTTATTTGCAATGTGTTATACACATCTCATACAGCTTTTTCATACAAACTTTTAGGGACGTCAACCTATTTACAAGTCATTCTTTCAGTTTCAATCATTTATCTTGTGTGACTTTTATGCAGACTCAAATGCCAAAATTTGCGACTCACCTTTTCCACTTTGTCATAGTTTTTAGCCTTGATCTGTAAACAGACAACTTATTGTTAATTTCTCATCAATAATTCAGTTATAAACAAGGCACAATTTAACAGGACACCCACACAGTCATGCTGACAACAGCCTTAGGATCAACAAAGTGAAGTCCACACAAGATAATTTACCAACATTTTTGGAGCATTAACTCACAACTTTGAAAAAAATCGTATATATCTTTTTTGGTTCAAAATCTCCAAGGGGGAAGATTCTCTTTGTTGGTACTTGAACCCTAAAACTTTCCAACAGCATGTAAAGTTCCAAATACATCAGAGAGAGTTCTGATATGGACCTTAATTTTGTGTCATATGTGGAACAAATATATATCCGCAAAGATGTCAGTCCTTTAAACTTCTTTTACAATAGATAAATGCAACTGTCTCTCATCAAAGATGCAATCATTCCTTCTGGCTCTAGAAATACATCTGAAAGACGTATTCATGAACTCCGCTGAACAACATTTTCTGGTCCAGCTTGCATTCAAAAACTACAGCAGATTATGACGAGAGCAGTTTTTTTTATTGCAGCTCAATCTTCTTGACAAAACCGTCTTTCCTTTTTAAGAAAAAAAACAATTTTGATGGATTGCATTGCATGCACCAATTACAAACAAAATTGTTTGCTCCATCTGAAAATGTGTGGCATGGAAACAGGATAATTGAGATCTCCTGAAACCACACCAGCAGGATTACTCTTAATCCCATGTTTGTGGGACTTTTTCTCTGTGGAGTTCTACATGCAGAACTAATGCATGTTAAATGTTAGTTGCGATATCCCATTTAGAACTTCAGAAAAATCAATCTACCTTAAAGATCCTGGTTTTGAATTTTAGTCTGAATTTCTTTTAATGTAAAACACTCATATATTTAAGATTTTCAATTTAAATTAATTTTAAGATTATGCTCTTACCTGATTTTATTATAGCATTTTAATCTACAGAATTAATTTAAAAAAAAATTAAGGAATTGGACTAGAAAACTTCTCACTAAGACATCATGTCAAGTCTTACTGTTAATGGGGCATGGTAGGATAATTTTGCCTTTTGGTATGCTTAACTTTTCAGCTTTAATGCAGGTAAAACAACCTGCAAAAACGTATTTATATTTCTTAAAATGTGCACATCCTCCTCTCCTTTCACAAGTCTGCATCTGTGTATAATTATTTGTCTGCTCTTTGAAAAGTCAAGTAGTCTAACAGCATCAATTATTACACATTGTTGATGGTGTTCAGCTTTATTGTAACTATGTAGTTTTTAATCATGTAGAAGTCAACAGTTACTTTTCAGGTCAAAGTATTGATATTGTAGAGCAAATTAAGAAATTGAAAGTCATCCAGTCAAAAAGCTGAACTTTAATGCTTAAAAAGATCAAATATTTTTAGGTCATAGAGGTAAAACTAAGTGTTCAGATACAAATTCGACAACCCACAGCAGTATAACCTGAACACATGTAAGCAAAAGAAAAATGAAGCACTGATCAAGGGTTAAGGTAATTCCACTGGAAGCTTACCTTGGTGACCATGAAACTAGGAAAATGGGTCACCTGTCAGCAGAGTGGGGTAGAGAACATGTTCTGGCCAAACCCCATTAAGGAGTAAATATGTAATTTTATTTAAATGCACACTGTAAAACCATATTTCCCATTTTCCCTAAAAAGTGCACAAATAGTTATGAAACCGTGTTTCAAAAAGACTGACTTACTTTACATTAACACTGATTATTCAGATGTCTGGCATTTTCAGAGGTAATTTTCACTCCATGTTAAACACCTTACTCAGATTTAAAAAACAAAAACATGCAAAAATGCATTTCATTTACCAGCCAGTGTTATTTCAATATGGTGGACAGATGCCCCTAAGTAGCTTGACAACTTAAGGCACACAGATTGGTCCAGATGATTCGCATCCTGCCCTGGGCTAGATCACCAGCTTACTGTGATCGCGATCCCCCTGAGCAGCAGCTCCGCTGAGGCTGGGCGGGGTAGACCTGACAGCTTCCTCGGCTTTCCGCACGGCGGGAGCTCCTGAGGTCCGCCTGGCACCTGCAATCCTGCAGTGGCATCAGTAAGGAACACACCGCTCCTCCAAGCGGTGCTGCCAGGCACTGAGCGGCTCGCAGCGTGTCGAGTGATGAAAGACTCCGACGGGTGGGCGGGTCAGCGGATGGCAGGCACTGGCCCCCTGCTCCCTGCGACACAGGGCTTCCAGCAGTGAGCTAGGCCGACTCACAACTGAGTGACTCCAGTTGGGTTAGGAGTTCCAATAAAATTCAATGTTCTGTCTATTAAAGGCACCTGCTGATCAAGGGTATCGCAAATCAGCTTTGTGTCTTCCCTGTGCAATGAGGCATCCTAAGGAATGCAGCTGTGTGAGTGAGTCTCATTTAACCCAGTGCCACACAGAATTTTAAACTGATGGCCCAGCGCACAAATGCAGTGCTTTATATGTCTTTTAGAGACTGCAAAGGGTATAATGCCAGGTAACCCAAGAGAAAGAGGGTTTTAACTTAAGCCAAATAATAAAACTTAGTTTATCTAACAGCATATTGTATTGTCTCACATGTATAGACAAAAAAATAATTATTTTTGGAATATCTTAAATTACATAATTTTGTACTCCAGCAGATCACACCAAAAGACCAAAGGAGAAAAAAGGACAAATTTAGGGTTTATAACACACACACAAGGTCTTTAAACCCACAAAGATGATAAACTCTCCAAATGACCATATTTGAAATTACAGCTTCGATGGAAAAATGGTTTAAGTCATTGTTTAACAGGGGTGATGAATTTGGCAAAAATGTATCAGATATAATTAACGGAAATATTTTCATGATAGATTTATTCTGTAGTTATCAGCAGTCATTCACTGTCTATGAGGGATTTTCCAAGAGGCAGTACAAAACCCGCTAAGTGCCACAAGGTTTAGATGGACGTAGTGTCCTTGGCATCCTGGGCTTGTTGTACTACAGTGCCCCCTACTGAGCAACTTTGAGCTTGCAGTGTGGTCATCACTGCTCCACACTGGCACGAGACAATGAACTGCAGAAGAAACCATCAATATGCTGGACCAAGTCCATTGCATTAAACATCATAAGAGAGCCTACATAGTTCACTTTTCAAGACCTTCGAAAGATCTGCAGCAGAAATAATGTTTCTTTTGGTGTGTCTTTGGCCAAAGAGAATTCTACTTTTGAGTCATTCTAAAAATGCTGAATCATGTTTGATGCTGTCAATCAAAACACATGTCCAGGGCTTCCCAGATGTTACAAGACCAGGTTTTCAATAAAGAAAACTATGGAAGACAAGGACTCCCGAAAATTACTTTTAAAACATTTTATCAGTGTGTCAAAGGAGTTCAAATAAAAATATGTTCCCATAAAAACATCAATACTTCATTTGATGACTGCTATATATGCATAATTTATAAGGTAACCAGTCTGCTTGCTGGATTGTGAATAATGGATTACTATGATGTAACAGACCCAAGAGAATCTTGTAACAATCTACAAGGACTGCTTAACCTCTGAACTGTGGCAGCTACCCTTTTTCACGCAATTTTAAATTATTTATTACAAATGTAATGGAATTATTATTACAATGTTTTGTATTATTTTAACACTGAAAACATACCAATCATAGCTGTGCATTACCCAGAATGATTAAGATGAAAAGCAAAGTTACCCTTGCACCCATTAAGTGGTACTTATCAGGTCACAGATTGACCTAGATGTTCTGAACTGTCTGTGCGATCCTCATTCTAGGAGCAACTGAACCTTATGTACAACAGCACATTAATTCAAAGTGTTTAACAAATGAGTCTAAACCAAAAGTGACTATTTGCCTATTAAATCTTCAACACTCAGTAACGTCTACGGAAAAAAATGTCAACCTGACCAAGTAGCAACAGTTTAAAATGTGATTACGTCTGTGAAATGTAACAGTACATATCTTGGTATTCAGCCAATAATAATGATTGTAATGATGATCCACAAAGAATAAGTGATAACTAAAAATCATCATCACTTTTAATTGACCATCCCTAGAGGTCCAAAAGCTGTCGTGATGTCTTATCTTGGTTTCCAAGATAAGAAAAAGGGTCAAATACCAAAACCGTCATCACCCTACCTCACTGGAATCGGGAAATAATTAATATTGAGAGAAGTTTACACTGCAGAAAACTCCTCCATTGCCTCTTAACAGACAAATCTGAAGCCACAGATTATTCTTAACTTGACGTGCAGATGTGTATATACACATAAATGAAATATTTATCTAGGGACAGGCTAGAGAGGGCTTAGGGGACAATTCACAGCATGCCATACTTCCATGGCAGCTGACACAAACACAATTGTGTAGTTTACACCTGTATTTATTTCTAGTGCACTGGGGACCTGCAACAATCTCACTCAGATTAGCATTTTTCTTAAACTCCAAGGCTCATCTTCATTTCATTCACTGCGATTGTGTTAGTGCCTTCTTTAGGGTCTCGGTGATACATTGTGGTACGGCACATCCGACAGCCTTGAGACTGTCCACAAAGTTCAAATTTGAGATGTTAACCGGATTGATACAATTCCTTTATTACTGTAATAAATCAAGTACAAAAGTCCAAATAATGTAAAATCTGAAAATACTGGTATCCTCAGCTCATTCACCATACTTAACTACTAAGATAAATTAGTTTTCAATGTACCACAGTGGTACTTTGGACAAATGAAAATGCAGTTTAGCAGCACTGAATGAAAGCTGTCAGTACTGTACTTTTAATTGTGTGCAAACTGAGTACAGAGATTGGTGGAACAATATTTTTATTCTGCACTTAAGCTCCAAATTCACCAATATCCTAGCATACTTGAACTGACTAGTCTCCTCTATAATACAGACAGGGTTAAAGAAGTTGTCTGATGTTCCTTTTTCTCAGAAGGTTAAACTGGAGGGTGCTTACAACAGCTAAAGATAGTGAACTATTTGTTTTTAAAAATGTATTACAC